ACACACACACAGCGAATTCTAGTAGGCGTCGCAGAGATTCCGAGCGGAGTTGTGGATCGCGAAAGAGACGGCGGCCGCTGGGAGGAGCTTCAGGTTGTTGACCGCCAGTCCGSCRTACAGCGCGCCAACTCCCTCTCTCCTRATGATCTCCCTGACGGCGTCCATCATGCCGGAGTAAACCCGTCCTGCGGCGGGTCCCATGGCTGCTTGCAACTGCATGCGCCTCTGAACGGTCTCCAAAGGATAGAGCGCGGTTTGGGCGCACAGCGCAGCCGCCGTGGCTATCAATACGATCGCCACTGGCCCAGGCTCTGCATCCGCACGGCCTTGTCTCTTCTTGTACCAGCGCTCCACTGTGGAAAAGGCATACCCGCTGAGGATAAAGTAAGGAATGGTGCGAAGGATCTGCGGAGCTATGCCGTCGAGGAACCCCCTTACGCCTCGGCGTCTCATGATCGCTCTCCCGATGTCGCCAGCCCCTCTTCCGTCTGCCCCGGCCACTACTCCAACACCTCTGCCACCTGTCCCCGGTGTCCCGGCGCCGCCCACACCTCGACCTCCATTCCCACCCACTCCCCCAACGGTATCCCGAACTGCCTCCGTCACTGCCCCCGCCGCCGCCCCCAGCCCGCGGATCGGCGCTTGCACTGCAACTCTTAGTGTGTCGATAGGATACGACGTAAGAATTCCGGCCGTTGATGCCAGCGTCGCGATCGCGTTTCGCTGCCAATCAGGCATCATCCATCCCTGCTGTCTCTGCCCCTCYGCAGCATCCGCACCCCCYCGTTTCTTCGCCGGACCTGCTGTGCCTTGCCTAGCTGGGTCAAACCGATTGGTCAACGCCCTGTAGACTAGCGCCTCCACCAACTTGGCCGGATACAGCCGAAGAACGTTGAGGAGATTACCTCTCAGAAGCCCTCTGTCACCCTCGGCCGTCCGGATCCGGTTCAATAACACGCGAGGGTCCTGCCTCGCCAGACTGGGATCAACCATCTGCATGATCCTCATCCTTTCTAGGGGACCGACGACGGTTCGAGCGACTGCGCCGGAGATAGAGGCGGCGACCACGTCTCTCATGGTTCGCACCTCAGGGAAGCGAAGGTTGGGCATCACGCCACGCTTCTCGAGAGCGAGGGGCAAGTTGCAGTCGAAATCTCCGCCGAAGTCAATCGCAGTTCCAGCGCGTGCTGGTGAGCCCACAACCTCTTCAGCATCCCTCGCCCACAGCAGGTACTTCCGCAAGTCTTCGAACCCAAACCCTTCGGACGGAGGCTTGCCCACGCTGGCGYTMACCAGCCGATCATCCTGATACACCTTCCTAGSCGGCAGGTTGAACCTCTTCAGAGCCTCTGGAATAACCTCCTTGGACACAACACCCCTTTGTCGTTTGTCCAGCTCCYTGAATGTGGCATGCAGCCTGTCCTCCAATCCCCTCGTGAACTCCGCAAACTGATCAAACGTCACACGACCGCCCGCCTTCTGCACATACTCCTTCACGTCCTTCCGAGAGACGGGGAGTCTCAGCTTCTCCGCAGCTCTCCTCAGTTCCTCCTCGCCAATAGCACCGGATCGATTGCGGTCAAACTCGTCAAATTGCCGCCTCAAAGTGGAATTGTGCGGGGGCTCGTCGCGACCTTCATCCTGACGGATTGCCACGACAGGTAGACATAGCCGACGCCGCCGCGTGCCTGCCACCTCAGCACCCGTCCAGCGTACCGTAATCATCGGAGCCCCATGGCCAGTCCTAGACCCAGACTTCCCACCGCACTCACGTGTTCCAGGTCCCATTTCTTCACCATCCCCTCCGCGACCATCTGATGACGACAACTGGCGTCTGGATGACCCCTCGCCGCTGCCCACTTCTGCACCCTTTGTGTCTGACGTCGCCCCCAGGCCCACAAAGACCACGGAGGTCGAGACACCACAGGGTGAAACAACTGCCCCACCGGTCAGATGGGGACCCATCACCCCATTCGCCCAACCGATCGTGGCACGGGGTAAAGAATGTGCGCACGTTTGGCGGTTCTTTGCAATGGCCTCCATTGCGCTTCCTCTGACACAGGCCCCCGCTCGAACGAGGTCAGGTGATCGCCGAAAGGCAGCAATCTGACTGATGGGCCGTGCCTCTTCCAAGCCGCTGGCAACGTAGGACTCCGGGCCTCCACCCCAGTTTCCAACCTCGGCTGAAGCTCAGTGCGTATGTGATCGTCGTCGGGATACCCCCGCTCCCTCTCCGCTCACTCTATCATCGTACACTAACCCGAGCAGGCAAACAACAAACCAGGGCTATCCTCTCGTGACGACCACGGTGCCTCACCCCTGCACTCTCTCTCACATCGCCTGCGATAGCACCAGCCATTCAATCACGAAACTGCTACTCCTGATCAGCTTATCAATCGCCTTTCATAGGAATACCTCAGCCTTTCGATCCCTCTGTTCTTCTGCCAGCCACGACCCTTGCGGGACGGTCGTCGGTCGTGACTCGCAACGAGGGCCTGGTTCCACCACCCTCAAAATGGCAAAATGGCGAACGTATCTAGTCGTCGTGGTCTCTTCGAAACATGCACTCCTATGTTTGTTCGCATCTGGTGAGTGGGTGGAAGGAGCCCCCGAGACACCAACAGGCAGCACCGTTTTCCGCTGTCGTTTCACACAACCCATTCCCCTGTCGTTTCACACAAACAACCCTAATTCCCGGAGGGAGTCCTGCACGATGTCCCAATCGCCAAATTTCTCTCTAATATATCTGTTCTATTCGAGATTTCCTGACCCTACATTATGACGAGTGTAGGCGGCATGAACCATGGGATCTGGGTAGGTGGGGACCTACGCGCTAGATGCTCGTAAGTCAAACGCACTTTGGATACCAACGGACATCAAGTAGTGAGATGTCTAACGCTGCAAGGCAACAGTCATGTCACTTGCCTTCTGTGTTTCTTTCCCCAGCACAGAAGTTGTCCGGTCCTTCAGGCGTAATGCATGGGATGCACTGTCAGGTCCGTATCCCTCATCTGACTCTCTTTAGTCCCCACAGACGACCTGAACGCATTACAGTACTGTGTTTCGTCACCCGGAGGAAGTGAAGCTTTGACTCTTGGCGTTGTCTTCATGTGAGTCCGTGGGAATAGCCTTCGGTTAATGAGAGACAAAAGTAGCCCAGTTTGCATGTCATAGACCTCACGGCTCGCTGTTTTTTTTTTCTTTTATAGGAAAAATACAGTCGAGTTGATGTAGCTCAGTGGTTAGAGCGCCGGTTGGAAATGCGCATTGTGGTATGACGTTGCGGCTTCAAAACTCAATTACAGCCTTGCACATGGACACCGGCAGGGCGTTAGAATGACGCAGGGCTTGACACATTGGGCTGACGCACCGTAAGCTTACACAGACACTGCCTGCGCTCCATGGTGTTGTATGTCACTCGGGTTTTGATACTGCGTGGGTTGCTTGTGGCTGTTGCGCCTGGTTGTTCTGTTGATCTCCCAAGTCTGGCCCTATCACACACAGGGGAGGTTTGCTATTGTTGCTCAAATGGTAGTCTTCAGGTCACATGTCATAGATCACGGGTTCGAGCCTGGCTGGGAACTTTGGGGAGGGTTCTTGTCCAGCTTGGCCTGTCATCTCTTCAAAAGAACACATAGTTCCCTCTACATAGCACTGCACAATGCACATATCTGGCCTTCGGGCACATACATCTCGCTATACAGTTACAAATAGCACAGATAGACTGCGCATATCTGGCCTTCGGGCACATACATCTCGCTATACAGGTACACACAGCACACAGAGCCTTCGGGCCAATACAAAAACACATGGGCCTATGGCTCATATAAACATACATAGACTCTGGGCACACACACACACACACAAATTACGATACTGGGCTGGGGGGTCTACTCACGCATGGCTTAGCTCTAGGGTAGGGGTAGGGATATAAGTTGCTCCGACTAGTCTGAGCTCCGCCTAGCCTTGGGTAAGCTAGGGGAAGGATGGTAGGATGTTTCCACGGGCGCTGGCCTGCCTTACATAGGTAATCCTGCTGGGTAGACTCTCTGAATTGGGCCTGTAGAAGATTGCATGAGCCTGGCGTCCGAAGTTCCCATATGGCGAGGTTCGTCCTCTTCCGCTTCCATCACGGCTGGGAGGTTGGCCCGACCTTGGTGCTTGTCACTGCTGTCTGGTCCAAATCGCCCTCAGTACTGGTAGGGTGATGGTCCTGAGTGCTGGTCACACTGAGGTAGGATAGGAGAGAAGGTTAACAATAGTCATATTTTTCATCACCACTTCAAGACACCCTTCACCACTTCAGGATGCAGCCTGCCTAAACAGGTGGTTTTCAGGGTCTTCGGACCTTTCACCACTTCAGGACACCCTTCACCACTTCGGGATGCAGCCTGCCTAAAGAGGTGGTTTTCAGGGTCTTCGGACCTTTTACCACTTCAGGACCATTCGGGATTTTCAGACTGCCGAAAACTCTCACTTAAGAATTTTCATTCCTGAATTTTCAGCTACCCGTTAACCGCTTGTGACAGGGTGTCGAGGATGGAGCTTTGGAACCCCCTGGGCGTGGCAACCCATACGAACTTGGGATCTTGATCGCGGAAAAACCAGTAAGTTCGCAAGATATCAACGACGGTGTAACACAGGAAGAACACACGGAAATCCGTGAAGCAGACGCCCAGATGGTCCTCATAGTGTTCTCTAAGCGATCAGACAACTCATTCATGACGGCTCCCCCGCCAGGAAACGGTAGTATAGTTGGCACGAAACAAGTGACGGTTAGCATACACGGACAACTCTATGAGCTATATGCACCCAAGTACGTGTCAAACGAAACTCGTCAACAAATCGTAGATATCCTTATCGAATCTCTAGGGGTGATTTGCGTCAAAGACACCGATATCAGACTGTCGTTGGTTATTCAGCACGAAATCCAGACTGGAACGCACCCACCAATCCACTTGAAGCCATACCCATATTCCCTCGCCGAACGAAAGGCCGCGCTGGAACGAATTAGGCAATTTGAAGCTAACAGATGGATTGCACCAGCTACCGGACCATGATTATTCCCCGTAGTCTTAGTTCTGAAGAAAAATGGGCCGGTTCGCATATGCATTGATGATAGGAAATTGAATGACATCACGATCAAGGATGTGTACCCCCTCCCCCGGATTGATGACTTGCTGGATGTGACTGGATGTGCTAAATATTTCAGTGAGTTTGATATCCGCCACGGGTTTCACCATATCCTAGTTAAGGAGGAGGATCGACCAAAGACGACGTTCGTATTGTTCGCAGGCATGTGGCTGTGGGTTCATTGCCCCATGGGGACATGCAATGCACCAGCTACCTTTCAAAGAACGATGAACATCACCTTTCATAACTTCGTCAATAAGACTGGACTGACCCAGAGCATGATCAACTTTTGCGTCATTGTGTACATCGACGATATCTTAGTGTATTCTGAATCTTTCCACGAACATGCTCAACACATCGGGTGGACGTTGGGGGCGTTGTGAGATGCTGGTTTCAAGATCACACTAGTAAAGAGTGAGTTCGTCCTTTCGGAGATCTCGTTCTTGGGTACGTGGTGACCCGTGGGGGCTTGAGGCGAGATTCGAGAAACGTCGAGGTGGTTCGAGAAGCCCCCACGTCTACGTCGCTGACGCAGGTTCGAGCCTTTCTAGGATTGGCCTCATACTACTGGAGGTTTATTAAGGGGTTCGGGACAATTGCTTGGCCTCTAACAAACCTCCTACGAGAATATCAGCCGCTAAAGTGGGACGCGGACTGTGAACAAGCCTTACTCACCTTGAAGGAGACCCTCGCTTCCGCGCCTATTTTGATTCAGCCCGATGTGGGAAAGCAGTTCATACTCTTCACGGACTGGCAGCCTGAGGCGGTGTCCGCCATTTTGGCCCAGAAGGGAAAGGACGGTCGCGAACACTTCATCGAGTACGCCTCACGAACTGTACCTTACGAACGCCAGAATGATTCGGCCCCACAGGGAAAATGCTATGTGGTCGTCAGGGGAATTCAACACTTCCATCGGTATTTGTACGGACAAAAGTTCCTCCTCGTCACGGATCATGGGCCCCTGCTAGCTCTCAAAAGGCTCACTAACTACACGGGCATGATTGGGCGATGGGTTGTCCGGCTACAGAAGTATGACTTCGACATTATTTATCAAAAGACGGAAAAACACGGGAATGCAGACGGGTTGACATGACTACATCAGCCAAGCAAAGATGCAAAACGTGAAGAGATTATTTCGTGGAAGGAGCCGGAGCCAGCGATACGGAGAAGTGGTCATTCTCCCCTGACCCTCCCGCAAGTGACACGTGGACACAACGGCGATAGGTGGGGAAGGTAATACCAGAGGTCCGCTTTCTCCCCTCTCATCCTCTCCTTTTATTTCCTTCCCTGATAAATTTTGTTATTTTTGCGAAGCAATATCGTGAGTCTATTCCATTCCTATGCATCCTAGTGGGGAAGGGTATGTCGAGCGGGTAGATTATCAACAATGTGTCTCTCGAGCCCACGGCTCATGTATCCAATACAAGAGCTCAGATAAACCCTGGTTATATCTATTGTGTCGCACCGACAAAATCCCGACGGAGGCTCGATTCCTTGGAGCCACGTCCGAAGGATTAGAAAGGGCACGATGATTTAGGCGTGCTGAAGTATGGACGAATGTCGTATTGATAGGTACAGTGGTCGGAAACGCCCTCCGAGAATTCACCAAGAAAGGTCGGAGGCGGGCTAACGAGAGGGCGTGGGATTACCGATGGAACGACGGACGGCTGGGAAAACGAACGACTGATGGGAGTGGGATCTGGATGTCAGTGCCTCATCCGTTTTTGAGGTACGACTTGGTTAAGTCGGCCCACGAAGAAACTGCTGCTCACTTTGTTGTTAGGACCATGGAGGCTGTGATTGA